TTTTTTTTTTGTCACATAAAAAAATATTAATGATTCAATCATAATAATTCTATTAAATTATGATATGATACTGATAATTACACATTACTTACTGTATTTATGATTTATTATTTTATCCAATTTTTTTTTCTTTATGTTTTCCATGTAATATTTATGGGGTATTTGAAAAATAGATTATAAACCAAAGTGAATAATATAACACAAATATTTATGCTTTCAAAAAAAAAAACACAAATATTTAAAATTTATAATCTAAATAACTTTAAGAGTCAGTTGAGAAGAATGTGGATGCTCTAAGTCGGTGGAGCTTGCCCAACGCGCTTTTTTTTTTTTTTTTTTTTTTGGAAACTGCCCAACGTACACTTACTGACTCCTTTATATAGATACCTCTGCCAATGAACAGTTCTTCATCCTCATGGCTTTTTCAGTGATCAAGAAGCAACATAAGTATAGCCGTTATAGCGAAAGAGGTTTCGGAACGTTGTAAGTATTCAACAAAAACTTGCTAGTGTTACTTTGAATCTTTGTATTTTCTTTGAATACTTGTTAGATTTGGCAGATAAAGTTTAATCACTGTGTAGTTCTTTGCTCCCTTTCTGTATTCCTGAATTTCCCCACATTTTTGGGTTCTTTTTCCTTTATTATTTAAAAAATGATTTTTAGTGTGTTTAAGTATTCTTTATAGTTTTTAAAATGTTTTTTTCGCTGTTCTTGTTAGTCTTTAAAATGATTTTCAGCATTTGGAAGTGTTATTTTTAATTTTTAAAATAGTTTTCAGAGTTATTTTTTTTAACATTTACATTCTTGATATGTTTTTTTTCTTTATTTTTGGGTTCTTTTCCCTTTGTTATTTTTAAAATGATTTTCAGGGTTTTAAAGTATTCTTTTTAATAGTTGATGTTTTCCTTGTCAGTTCTGAACACACAAGATGATCTACAGGCGGTATGCTGTGTTATTCTTCTCGCTCTGTGTTGATATGACGGACAGGGGGTTGGCTTATTTGGAGTGCATCCACTTGTTTGTGTAGATACTGGATCACTTTTTTAGTAATGTCTGCGAGTTAGATTTGGTTTTTAACTTTCACAAGGTATGGTTTTTCAAAAAAAAAAACCAGGTATTTTCACAAGGTACTGGATCACAAGTTCTTTCAAAAAAAAAAAAAACTTTCACAAGGTATGGTTTTTCAGTCTTTCTCATTGTGAATCTCTGTATTTTCTTTTATTTCTACTGTATTCACCTTGTGTATGCTGCATTGTAATTTATACTTCTGATTGATTGTTTTCCTATGAAGGTATATCTAATCTTAGATGAATTCTTACTCGCTTGGGAGCTCCAAGAAACAAGTAAGAAGGTGAGAGTAAAGAAGGATTTTTCTCGCGCCTTATCCTTGTTCTAGTGAGGTGTACTTTGCATAGATTTTGCAGAAAAAATGGATGTTTGATTTCTTCTGAAACTGCAGGCTATCATAGAGAGTTTGAATGAATTGGAGAAGTTGGAGTAAAGATTGATGATCCATGATGGCCAACCTTCATCCATATTCCAAAGTATGCAAACATGCAGGGAGGACCAATTCTAAATTTCTAATGCCTGGTTTTTGCCTCCAGAAAGCTCTTCAACCTGTGCGTGCTTCCTATTTCCCTCCAGGTATTCCTGCTTTGTTGTCCGACTGATTGCACTCTGGAGTGTTATCTTCTTCTTTCTCTTATTCTCACCATTGGTTGAATTCTTCAAATCTACTAAAGCCTTTAATGTAATGGAACTTGATTTCAGGGTATTTGCATTGGTTTAAGTGAAGTGATGGCAAGTGCTGGGAAGAGCCAGTTGCTGAGTTTCATGGACAAGCTTATCCCCACTCTGTGATAGGTTTGAGATTGTTTACTTGTACTGAAGGAAGCAATTTTGTTTCTGCTTTCCTGTATGAAAAATTTCTTACTGATATTCTGATGTTATAGGCTTATAGCATAACCTGAGGTTCGTGAATCAGCAGAGTTGGCATTCAGCTCTCTCTACAAGGTACCACTAGTTAGTTCTTGGTGTGTGAATATTAGTTTGATGATGAATTGATGATGGTTCCTTGTGTAGACTGCTGGAATGCAAGCAATTGATGAGATTGTTCCTACACTTCTGCATGCTCTGGAGGAAGATCAAACCTCTGATACTGCTCTTGGATGGTTTAAAACATATTTCTAGGTTGGAAACCATTTGCAAATGTGTATTTTCTTACATTTCTGCCTGGGCACCTTTTCTGATTTTTAAAATGTATTGGATGCTTCTTTCAGTGAGCAGGACCAGTGCTGTGCTGCCTGCCTCATATCCTTCCCAAGCTTGTCTACCTTCCCCTTTCGTAAGTATTGTGACTATTTCTTATAGCTTTTTTTTTATAGAGTAGTATTTCTTTATTATTCACAATGATCTTTGGTTTTATATCCAGCGCCTTCAATGCACATGCCTTGGGAGCTTTAGCAGAGGTTGCTGGACCTGGTCTTGATGCCCCCCTTAGTACCATCCTTCCTGCTTTACTCACTGCAATAGGCTATACTGATATGGTAGGAACCTAATTTTTATGCCATAATGCCATTTACTTGGTTTCTAAGTTGATTTGTGTTATTTTTTTTCATTGCATAATTTGCATGTGTCATGCTTTCACCTTGAAAATATCTGAGGTTCAAAGTCTCGCCAAGAAAGCAGCAGAAACTGTTGTCACTGTAATTGATGAGGAAGGTATCGAATGAAATACTGTCGGAGCTTCTCAAAGGAGTTGGAGATATTCAGGCATGATTTATTGTTTTGCATAATGCTAATGTGCTTTTCTTTTCTTTGTATTCCAGTTTTTAGCTAACACTATTTAAGTTTTATTCTTCCAGGCTTCAATCAGACAATGTTCTGCGTACTTAATTGGATATTTATTCAAAACCAGTGATCTATATCTTGTTGATGGGGCTCCAAATGTGATATCCACCCTGATTATTTTACTAAGTGATTCAGATTCGGTATTATTTTGATTCATTGCATGACATTAATACAATGCACTTTAATTTACTGGTTTATCTTACCGTGCTCCTTTACAGATTGCTTGGGAAGCATTGTCTAGTGTTATAAGTTCAGTTCCTAAAGGAGTTCTTCCTTCGTATATAAAGTTGGTTCGTGATGTATACAAACATGCAGGGAGGACCAATTCTAAATTTCTAATGCCTGGTTTTTGCTTCCGTAAAGCTCTTCAACCTGTGCGTGCTTCCTATTTCCCTCCAGGTATTCCTGCTTTGTTGTCCGACTGATTGCACTCTGGAGTGGTATCTTCTTCTTTCTCTTATTCTCACCATTGGTTGAATTCTTCAAATCTACTAAAGCCTTTAATGTAATGGAACTTGATTTCAGGGTATTTGCATTGGTTTAAGTGAAGTGATGGCAAGTGCTGGGAAGAGCCAGTTGCTGAGTTTCATGGACAAGCTTATCCCTACCATTCGGACAGCACTTTGTGATAGGTTTGAGATTGTTTACTTGTATTGAAGGAAGCAATTTTGTTTCTGCTTTCCTGTATGAAAAATTTCTTACTGATTTTCTGATGTTATAGGCGCTTATAGCATAACCTGAGGTTCGTGAATCAGCAGGGTTGGCATTCAACTCTCTCTACAAGGTACCACTAGTTAGTTCTTGGTGTGTGAATATTAGTTTGATGATGAATTGATGATGGTTCCTTGTGTAGACTGCTGGAATGCAAGCAATTGATGAGATTGTTCCGACACTTCTGCACGCTCTTGATGACGATCAAATCTCTGATATTGCACTGGATGGTTTGAAGCAGATTTTAAGGTTGAAAACCGTTTGCAAATGTGTATTTTCTTACATTTCTGACACTGCTGGAATGCAAGCAATTGATGAGATTGTTCCGACACTTCTGCACGCTCTTGATGACGATCAAATCTCTGATATTGCACTGGATGGTTTGAAGCAGATTTTAAGGTTGAAAACCGTTTGCAAATGTGTATTTTCTTACATTTCTGCCTCGGCTCCTTTTCTGATTTTTAAAATGTATTGGATGCTTCTTTCAGTGTCAGGACCAGTGCTGTGCTGCCTCACATCCTTCCCAAGCTTGTGTCCACATTCCTCTTTAGTAAGTATTGTGTCTGTTTCTTATAGCGTTTTGTATACTAGTATTTCTTTAGTATTTCCAAAGATCTTTGGTTTTATATCCAGTGCCTTCAATGCACATGCTTTGGGAGCTTTAGCAGAGGTTGCTGGACCTGCTTTACTCACTGCAATGGGCTATACTGATATGGTAGGAACCTAAATTTTTATGCCCATAATGCCATTTACCTGGTTTCCTCTTTCACATCATTTAAATTTGAGTCATTGCTTAATTTCATTTGTAAATTTGAGCCGTTGCATAATTTGCATTTGTAATGCTTTTACCTTGAAAATATAGGAGGTTCAAAGTCTCGCCAAGAAAGCAGCAGAAACTGTTGTCACTGTAATTGATGAGGAAGGTATCGAGTTTTTGCTGTCGGAGGTTCTTAAAGGAGTTGGAGATATTCAGGCATGATTTATTGTTTTACATAATGATAATGTGACTTTCTTTCTTTGTATTGCATTCTCTAGCTAACACTATTTAAGTTTTATTCTTCCAGGATTTAATCAGACAAAGTTCTGCATACTTAAAGTGATTCAGATTCAGCTACCGTGATGGTATTATTTTGATTCATTGCATGACATTAATACAATGCACTTCAATGTACTGGTTTATCTTACCGTGCTCCTTTACAGATTGCTTGGGAAGCATTGTTTAGTGCGATAAGTTCAGTTCCTAAAGGAGTTCTTCCTTCGTATATAAAGTTGGTTCGTGAAGGAGTGTGAACATTTTCTCTGGTGAAGCACCTGCAGAATTTCCTTCTGCATTGGAAACAGTGAGTTTTATTTTGTTACTCCAATTTAATATCTTGATGTCCTGGTTTTTGTTGTTGTTGCAGATCTTAGAAGATGCTATGGGCCTGGGGTAAACTGTAATGACAATTGCTCTAATACTTGCTAGGCCGGGCAAGGGTATCCCTGATAATCAAGAACTTGCTGAGGAGCCTATTACTCAGCATTCTAGGAACAGAAGGATTAAAGGTGGCACTCTCATTGTTTGTCCTATGGGCCTGGGGTAAACTGTAATGACAATTGCTCTAATACTTGCTAGGCCGGGCAAGGGTATTCCTGATAAGCAAGAACTTGCTTAGGAGCCTATTACTCAGCATTCTAGAAACAGAAGGATTAAAGGTGGCACTCTCATTGTTTGTCCTATGGCATTACTTGGTCAATGGAAGGTGTGGCACTTCATTGTTCGTCCTATGGCATTACTTGGTCAATGGAAGGTTTGGCACTTCATTGTTCGTCCTATGGCATTACTTGGTCAATGGAAGGTGAGTTTATTAGTCTGTAGCCCCTTTCTTGCTTAATGTCAATATGAAAATGTGTCTGATATTGATTATAATTCTCATAACAGGATGAACTTGAAGCCCATTCAAAGCCAGATAGCATTTCTGTTTTTGTTCATTATGGTGGGGAAAGAAGTAATGACCCTAGAGTGATAGTAGAAACAGATGTGGTCTTGACAACCTATTGTCTTCTAACTGCTGCATATAAGGCTGTAAGTAATCCAGCCTTTTTCAGATCAGTATCAATGTTTTTCCCATGAGCTTGAAAGTGTATTTATTCTGTTCATTTGGTTCTATGTGCATTAACCAGTTTTTAATTGTGATTTAGGATGCGGAGAGTAGCATATTCCATGAAGTTGATTGGCATCGAATTGTACTGGATGAAGCAGTCACCATAAAATCCTGGAGAACTGTGAGTGCTAGGGCTGCATTCACATTGTCTGCACATTGCAGGTGGTGTCTCACTGGTATTCCACTTCAGGTATGTTTCCTCATCTAAGTTCCCATTTATCATATTTCCTAAAAAATGAGGCTTTTATTCTGTTCATTTGGTTCTATGTGCATTAACCAGTTTTTAACTGTGATTTAGGATGCGGAGAGTAGCATATTCCATGAAGTTGATTGGCATCGAATTGTACTGGATGAAGCACTCACCATAAAATCCTGGAGAACTGTGAGTGCTAGGGCTGCATTCACATTGTCTGCACATTGCAGGTGGTGTCTCACTGGTATTCCACTTCAGGTATGTTTCCTCATCTAAGTTCCCATTTATCATATTTCCGGCTTTCATGAGACCGTCTCATTTGATAGAAATCTGATTTATGTTAATGATGTCCTCACTAATTGCTGCAGAATAATTTGCAAGATCTTTACAGCCTTCTGTGTTTCTTGCATGTTGAGCCATGGTGCAATTGGGCATGGCATGTTTTCTATATTACTAACTGTATATATACATGCTAATAAGTTTAACTGAATTACTTAAATGTTTGCTATCTTTTAGGTGGAATAAGTTAATACAGAGACCTTATGAGAATGGTGATCAGAGAGCATTGAAACTGATCAAGGCAATTCTTAGGCCTAAACCCTAAACCCTAAACGCATGGTATGTTTTCTGTATTACTAACTGTATGTACATGCTAATAAGTTTAACTGAATTACTTAAATGTTTGCTATCTTTTAGGTGGAATAAGTTAATACAGAGACCTTATGAGAATGGTGATCAGAGAGCATTGAAACTGATCAAGGCAATTCTTAGGCCATTAATGCTTAGGAGAACAAAGGAAACAAAGGACAAGGAAGGGAGGTAGTGTTCTTCACAACTTTGCAAACATTCTTGAGTTGCTACTCAGACTGAGACAGTGTTGCGACCATCCTTTTCTTGTGAGGAGGTGAAATGCCATTAGAGCTTTACTGTGCATGTGTCTATAATGAAATATACTCTGATCTCTAAAACAGTTTATTTCCCCTAAATCTGCAGCCGAGCCCGATGTAGACTAATATGCAAACAAGCTTGCCCAGAAGATTCTTGAAACAAACCCTGATTTGGATAAGGTCTCACAAAAGTATGTTAGGAACAAACCGTGATTTGGGCTATACTGATATGGTAGGAACCTAATTTTTATGCCATAATACCATTTACTTGGTTTCCTCGTTCACAATAAAATATAGGAGGTTCAAAGTCTTGCCAAGAAAGCAGCAGAAACTGTTGTCACTGTAATTGATGAGAAAGATATCGAGATTTTGCTGTCGGAGGTTCTTAATGGAGTTGGAGATATTCAGGCATGATTTATTGCTTTACATAATGATAATGGTGACTTTCTTTCTTTGTATTGTATTCTTTAGCTAACACTATTTGGATTCATTGCATTATTACAATGCACTTCAATTTAGTGGTTTATCTTACAGATTGCTTGGGAAGCATTGTCTAGTGTTATAAGTTCAGTTCCTAAAGGAGTTCTTCCTTCGTAAATAAAGTTGGTTCGTGATGTATACAAACATGCTGGGAGGACCAGTTCTAATACCTGGTTTTTGCCTCCGGAAAGCTCTTCAACCTATGCTTCCTATTTCCCTCCAGGTATTCCTGATTTGTTCTTCAACTGATTGCACCTTCTTCTTTCTTTCTCTTATTCACTATTTGTTGAATTCTTCAAATCTACCAAAGCCTTTAATGTAATGGAACTTGATTTCAGGGTGTTTGCATTGGTTTAAGTGAAGTGATGGCAAGTGCTGGGAAGAGCCAGTTGCTGAGTTTCATGCACAAGCTTATCCCTATCATTCGGACAGCACTTTGTGATAGGTTTGAGATTGTTTGTTTACTTGTATTGAAGGAAGCAATTTTGTTTCTGCTTTCCTGTATTAAAAATTTCTTACTGATTTTCTGATGTTATAGCATGACCTGAGGTTCGTGAATCGGCAGGGTTGGCATTCAGCACTCTCTACAAGGTACCACTAGTTAGTTCTTGGTGTGTGAATATTAGTTTGATGATGAATTGATGATGGTTCCTTGTGTAACTGCTGGAGTGCAAGAAATTGATGAGATTGTTCCGACACTTCTGCATGCTCTTGTTGACGATCAAATCTCTGATACTGCTCTGGATGATTTGAAACAGATTTTAAGGTTGAAAATCGTTTGCAAATATGTTATTTCTCACATTTCTGGCTGGGCACCTTTTCTGATTTTTAAAATGTATTGGATGCTTCTTTCAGTGTCAGGACCAGTGCTGTGCTGCCTCCATATCCTTCCCAAGCTTGTGTCCATATTCCTCTTTCGTAAGTATTGTGTCTGTTTCTTATAGTGTTTTCTTTATTATTTCCAAAGATCTTTGGTTTTATATCCAGTGCCTCAATGCACATGCTTTGGGAGCTTTAGCAGAGGTTGCTGGACCTGCTTTACTCACTGCAATGGGCTATACTGATATGGTAGGAACCTAATTTATGCCCATAATGCCATTTACTTGGTTTCCTCGTTCACATCATTTAAATTTGAGTCATTGTATAATTTCATTTGTAAATTTGAGCCGTTGCATAATTTGCATTTGTAATGCTTTTTTCTTGAAATATAGGAGATTGAAAGTCTCGCCAAGAAAGCAGCAGAAACTGTTGTCACTGTAAATGATGAGGAAGGTATCGAGTTTTTGCTGTCGGAGGTTCTTAAAGGAGTTGGAGATATTCAGGCATGATTTATTGTTTTACATAATGATAATGTGACTTTCTTTCTGTGTATTGCATTCTTTAGCTAACACTATTTAAGTTTTTTTCTTCTAGGATTTAATCAGACAAAGTTCTGCATACTTAGAGTGATTCAGATTCAGCTACCGTGACGGTATTATTTTGATTCATTGCATGACATTAATATTTAATACAATGCACTTCAATGTACTTGTTTAACTTACTGTGCTCCTTTACAGATTGCTTGGGAAGCATTGTCTAGTGTGATAAGTTCAGTTCCTAAAGGAGTTCTTCCTTTGTATATAAAGTTGGTTCGTGATGTATTCAAACATGCAGGGAGGACCAGTTCTAATACCTGGTTTTTGCCTCCGGAAAGCTCTTCAACCTGTGCTTCCTTTTTTCCTCCAGGTGTTCCTGCTTACTTTTGTTTGTGAACTTAAATTTTACATTGAAAGAATCTCTTCATTTGTTTTGACTTGTCCAAATAAGGTCCTTCAACCAGTTTCTTCTCAGGAGACTGAAGTCTGATGTTGAGAAAGGTCTTCCTCCCAAGAAGGAAACTATCCTCAAGGTTGGTATGTCCCAGATGCAGAAGCAATATTATAAAGCTTTGTTGCAAAAAGATCTAGAAGTTGTTAATTCTGGTGGAGAGCGAAAGCATCTTCTAAATTTAGCCATGCAACTGCCGAAATGCTGCAATCATCCATATCTGTTTCAAGGTGCTGAACCTGGACCTCCTTATACTACGGGGAGAGCATCTGATAGAGAATGCTGGTAATGTTTCAATGTATCTATATTTGGGTAGACTGTTGATCTTACAGTTGATTGATAAAGCTGTTGCTTTCCTTTATTTATTGTAGGCAAAATGGTTCTTCTGGATAAGCTGCTTCCAAAACTAAAGGACACGCGTTCAAGGGTGTTAACATTTTCACAGGTCTTCAGATCTATAAATGATGCTCCGTATTATTGTTCCCTTTTATAAACTTTTGTGCCGTGGTATTGACCGATCAATTTCCTCTTATCTTGTAATGCAGACCAGAATTTTAGACATTTTAGAAGACTACTTAATGTACCGTGGTCATCAATAATCAATATTGACGGATTGACGGAAATACTGGTGGGGAGGATCGTGATGCTTCCATTGAAGCCTTTAACAAGCCAGGATGTGAGAAATTTGCAACCATGGTGGTGGCTTCGTCTCTTCTCACTATGGATCTGGTATTCACTGATTTAGATTTGAGAGTGTGCCTTTTCTTTCTTATGTTTAATTTTGATCCTTTTTTTTTTCCCTCACTCCCTCACTCTGTGTGCTTGTATATAATATGTTATGGAGTTCCATATTTGTCTAGTTTTGTTCTATATCTCTTTATTTGTTGTTCTGGAATCTGTGTAATATGTTTCTTATCAATTCTTGATTCACAGGAACACATATGAAAATTATTACATCTGAAACTCCAAATTTTGCTCAATAAAATCAAGCTATAAGGAGGCAAAAACTTGAAGGGAGGGGAAAGCTCGACAGGTGGTCATTTATTGACTAAAATTTTTTACCTTAATTAAGTGTATCATTTTTCACATATTTTTATTATGATCTCCTCAATTTGTTCTCAGTTTTGCTTATATCCTTAGCATCAGACCCCAATCTTTGCTTCATAAAACAAGACCTAGGAAATTTACCTGCAACTTGTTCACTTCAACTGCTGAAACACGTACAGAAGACAGAAAGGTTAGTATGCATTTTTATGTCTTGCATTTCATTTATGGACATTAATTTCTGAATCTAATACGTGGTGAAAATTTCTATTTCAGATTCATGTTCGAGAACCAGCAGCCCCATTTATTTCAATGGCAGAAATGATGAAGAAGTTCGAATCTAGTACAAGGGAGATGTCAATGCCACGCTTGAATTGTTCCATGTCACTTATAAATACAAATAACTTGCTTAAAAGTTCCATTATTTTTCTAGTAGATTTTCTTTAAAAATTTAAACTATTTTTCTAGGATTATGCCTGCTTCTGTTTGAGACTTTGAATCTCTAGAATTTCTTTCGATTTTACGCGTATAGAAGATGGATTGAGTGTTCATGTCATAGTATTGAAGAAGACATTGTGATTGCTGGGTCATTTCCTCCCCCCTATTCATGATTCAGTTTGCTTCTGAACTTTAGATAGAGAGTGTTTTCACATGAGAGTGCTTTATATCCAGTGCCTTCAATGCACATGCTTTGGGAGCTTTAGCAGAGGTTGCTGGACCTGGTCTTGATGTCCACCTTGGTACCATCCTTCATGCTTTACTCACTGCAATGGGCTATACTGATATTCAGACATGATTTATTGTTTTACATATTGTTTTCTGATTATGTGATCTTATCCACTATTTAAGTTTTATTCTTCCAGGCTTCAATCATACAAAGTTCTGCATGCTTAATTGGATATTTATCCAAAACCAGTGATCTATATCTTGTTGATGAGGCTCCAAATGTGATATCCACCCTGATTCAGATTCAGCTACCGTGATGGTATTATTTTGATTCATTGCATGACATTTATACACTGCACTTCAATGTACTAGTTTATCTTGCCATGCTCTTTTACAGGTTGCTTAGGGAGCATCGTCTAGTGTGATAAGATCAGTTCCTAGAGAAGTTCTTCCTTTGTATATAAAGTTGGTTCTGATGCAGTATCAACTTCCAGGGATAAAGAACGTAGGAATAAAAAGGTAAAGGAGTGTGCATTTTACTCCAAATGGTGGTACAATCTGTTTATTGTTTATGCTTCCTGTTGATTTGCAAACATGCAGGGAGGACCAGTTCTAATACCTGGTTTTTGCCTCCGGAAATCTCTGCAACCTGTGCTTCCTATTTTCTTCCAGGTATTCCTGCTTATCTTTTGTTTGTGAACTTAAAGTTTACATTGGAAGAATCTCTTCATTTGTATACCATTATTTCAAGCATTGGCCACAAGTATTAAGAATGCAAGATTGTTGAGCTTTGATTGCATGGTAATGTGAATTTCCTCTATTATCTGTAGGGGGTCTTATAAGTGGATCTTCTAAATTAAGAGAGCAAGCAGCTTTGGGCCTTGGAGAGTTAATTGAAGTGACAAGTGATCAAGCATTAAAGGAGTTTGTCATTCCGATCACAGGGTATTAGCTGTTACTATAGTTCTACACATTGCTAGTTTTAACTGAGACTATTAAAAGGATTGCAACCAACAAAATAAGCTATATGTAGACATTACGTTGCCTATATATGTATGCAGTGAACTATGCCCTTTATTAGTGTATCAACTATAAAACAGTCCTCTACTTGTCTGAACCTTTGGGTCACCAGTGTAACGCCATTCTAGTGTATGCAGTGAACTATGCCCTTTATTAGTGTATCAACTATAAAACAGTCCTCTACTTGTCTGAACCTTTGGGTCACCAGTGTAACGCCATTCTAGATTTTGCTTGTTCATGAATTGTTATTAGGTGTAGGTCGTTCATTCGTATAATAGGGGACAGATTCCCATGGCAAGTTAAAAGTTCAATTCTCTCAACTTTGAGCATCATAATATGGAAGGGTGGGTTGGCCCTAAAGCCTTTTCTTCCCCAGCTTCAAACAACATTTGTTTAGTGTTTGCAGGATATTACAAGGTTAGCTTTTAATACTTATGGTTTTCAGTTCTTTTTGAGACTCGTTTATTCTGTTCGGTTCGGTACTACGATGTAGGAATATTCCTAGCTCATGCTATGCAAGTTGTTTGCTGGACTGTTCGATCAAGTGTTGCTCTTGCCCTTGGTAAACTAAGTGCACTCACAACTACGATTGATCCTTTGGTTAGTGATCTTTTATCTGCTTTACAGGTGACATACTTCTTCTTATGCTTTTTTTTTTCTTTGGTTTTAACTTTCAAAATCTAATATTGTGGTGATATGGGCAGCAGGCTTCAGATGTTGGAATTCGTGAGGATATTTCTTCCCCAGCTTCAAACGACATTTGTTAAGTGTTTGCAGGATAATACAAGGTTAAGGTTAGATTCTAATACTTATGGTTTTTCGGTTCATCTTGAGACTCATTTAGTATGTTTGGTTCGGTACTACGATGTATATTCCTAGCTCATGCTATGCAAGTTGTTTGCAGGACTGTTCGATCAAGTGCTGCTCTTGCCCGTGGTAAACTAAGTGCACTCACAACTAGGATTGGTAAGATCTGTGTTAGGTTCTAATACCTGGTTTTTGCCCCCAGAAAGCTCTTCAACCTGTGCTTCCTATGTTCCTCCAGGTATTCCTGCTTATCTTTTGTTTGTGAACTTAAAATATAAATTTATAGAATCTCTTCATTTGTATACCAAATTTTCTAATATTCAATAATTATAGCATAGAAATTCTTCCAAGAATGATTATATTTGCACTTTAGATGGTATATTCGATTATTCTCTTAATGTTTGATATCATTTTCTACCTTCTAAATCTTCAGAAGCTGCAAAGGCAGAGGAAGCTAAAGATGAGGTTGAGATGGATGGATTTCAAAGTGATGATGATGACGATGAGTCTGATAGCGAAATGGCAGATGATGATGAGGGATGGAGATGAAGCTATGATCCGAGGATAAGCTGAAAGGTTAGTATGCATTTTTTTATGTCTTGCATTTCATTTGTGGACATTAATTTCTGAATCTAATACATGGTGAAAATCTCTATTTTAGATTTATGTTCGAGAACGAGCAGCCCCATTTATTTGAATGGCAGAAATGATGAGGAAGTTTGAATCTAGTACAAGTCAGATGTCAATGCCACACATGAATTGTTCCATGTTACATGTAAAAAAAAATAACTTGCTTAAAAGTTTTATTGTTTTTCTAGTATGTTTTCTTTAAAAATTTGAACTATTTTTCAGGATGGTATGACTGGATCAGTGCAGAGGAAGCCTAAGCTTACACTGACAAGGCCTAAGGATCCTGAACGTGAAGCAGCTCAACGAGTCAACGTTACTGTCCAATAAAGCTTATGAGCTCAGCTCAGCTCAGCTCATAATCTACTACTCTAACTCTATTTTTCTTTTCCTTTTCTTTCTAATATTTATCAATTTCTTTCTTTTTATTCTATCCCCCCTTTTCTCATCTTAATTTTCTTCTTCTCTTTCCCGTCTTCCTTATACGTTTCTCTCTTTCTTTTCTTCTTTTTCCTTCATGTTCTCCATCCTTTCTCACTCACCCACTCTAATTCCCATCCCTTCTCGATTTTTCTTTGTTGACCTTCTCTCTCTCTCAAGAAGTGACGCCCGGCGGGGAAGCAATTTGGTATGTTTTGCTCCATCTGCATAGTATTCTACTGTTGTTTTGGGCGTTATGATTCTTATTACATTTCGCTAACTTCTCAGGGATCTAGTGACAAGCAGTCAGTTGTGTAAGAAGCTGTCCTCACTTCAAGGTTTGCTCCACTCTGTGAATATCAACTTTGTTTATACAATTGGTTTGTCTCAATTAAGTTTCACTGACAAAGCCAACGTAGTTTCACTGATTGCTGAGATTATTTAACGGGAGCATGCACCCCTCAGCCACCAAAAATAACTTCTCAGTGAACAGCCCAACAAACTGATGCTAAGAAGCACCAGACAGCTAAAAAAAACAGCAAGTATGATCAGGAACCCCTCTGCATTAAAGTCAGCAACCCAATCACAAGTCAATGCCATGCATGAATTGTTCCATGTCACATGTAAGTTGCTTAAAAGTTTTTTAATTTTTCTAGTACGTTTTCTTTCTTATGTTTAATTTTGATCTTTTTTTTTTTTGCCCTCACTCTGTGTTCTTGTATATAATATGTTATGGAGTTTTTCTCTACTAAAGTCTCTTGTTTTCTTTGTAGCAGCTATGTCGACCAAGGCTACTGAAGATATCAGTTGCAACCTTTGGGTGGTGGCTTCGTCTCTTCTCTCTATGGATCTGGTATTCAATGATTTAGTTTGAGAGTGCCTTTTCTTTCTTGTGTTTAATTTTGATCTTTTTTTTTTTTTTTGTTTTTTGTCTCACTTTGTGTGCTTGTATATAATATGTTATTTAGTTTTTCTCTACTAATGTCTCCTGTTTTTTTTGTAGCGGCTATGTCGACCAACGACTACTGAAAATCTCAGTTGCAACCTTGGTGGTGGCTTCGTCTCTTCTCTCTATGGATCTGGTATTCACTGATTTAGATTTGAGAGTGTGCCTTTTCTTTCTTATGTTTAATTTTTATCTTTCTTTTTTTTTTTCTTGTATGCCTTTTCAGCTTTTTGTTGTCTCTTCTGTTCTTTTATGCTTTGAAATAAATCTTGAATGCCTGTATATATAGGATTTCACAATTGGTCTGATTCTCAATTCTATAATATGGGCACTAATGCACTGGAATTTGTATAATGAGCCTTAACTTTTGAGCCATGTTGATAGGAAGAAGTGACTCCTGACGGGGAAGCCAATTTGGTATATTTTGATCCATCTGCATAGTATTCTACTGTTGTTTTGGGGGTTATGATTCTTATTACATTTCGTTAACTTCCCAGGGATGCTGTAAGAAATTGTCCTCCGTCCAAGGTTTGCTCTACTCTGCGAATATCAACTTCGTTTATACTTTTGGTTTGCCTCAATTAAGTTTCATTGACAAAGCCAACGTAGTTTCACTGACTGCTGAGATTATTCATCGGGAGCATGCACCCTTCAGCAACCAAAAATAACTTCTCAAAACAGCCCAACGAACTGATGCTAATTGCTAAGAAGCACCAGACAGCTAAACAATAGCAAGTATGATCTCAAACCCCTCTGCATTGAAGTCAAAATCTGAATCACAAGTGAAAAGCATTAATCCAGCTAGTGCAAGAAGGTCGATATCTCTCTTTTAGTTTTTATATTTGTCTAGTTTTGTTCTATATCTCTTTATTTGTTGTGCTGGAATCTGTGTAATATGTTTCTTATCAATTATTGATTCACAGGAACACATATGAAAATTACATCTGAAATTCTAAATTTTGCTCAATAAAATCAAGCTATAAGGAGGCAAAAACTTAAAGAGGGGAAGCTAGACAGGAGAGTCATTTATTGACTAAAAATTTTTATATCATTTTTTCACATATTTTTAATATGATCTCCTCAATTTGTTCTCAGTTTTGCTTATATCCTTAGCATCAAATCCCAAACTTTGCTCCATAAAACAAGACCTGGGAAATTTACCGGCAACTTGTTCACTTCAACTGCTGAAACACGTACCGAAGACAAAATGGTTATTATGCATTTTTATGTCTTGCATTTCATTTATGGACATTAATTTCTGAATCTAATACGTGGTGAAAATTTCTATTTCAGATTTGTGTTCGAGAACCAGCAGCCCCATTTATTTCAATGGCAGAAATGATGAAGAAGTTCAAATCTAGTACAAGGGAGACGTCAATGCCACGCTTGAATTGTTCCATGTCACATATAAATACAAATGACTTAGCTTAAAAGTTCTGTTATTTTTCTAGTACATTTTCTTTAAAAATTTAAACTATTTTTCAGGATGGTATGGCGGGAATCAGTGCAGAAGAATCCTAAGCTTACACTGACAAGGCCCAAGGAACCTGAACTTGAAACAGCTCAACGTTACCGTCCAGTAAAACTTAAGAGCTCAGCTGAGTTGGAAGAAGAAATGATGGCAAAATTCCCCAAGTTTAAGGTTCGCCCTCTAAATAAGAAGGTACCTCCATTTTGAATGACCGCATTATTTTCCTGAGTGTATACATCTTGCCTTAGTTTAAGAGACTGCTTTAGTATTCATGTGCTTTTTGTTTATTCCATGTGTTAATTTCATTTTAATTATTTTTTCTGCTTTTTATCCCTCATGTTACTTCCCTTCTCATTTGTGCGTGTTTATCTTTGTCATTTTTTCCTTTTTCTTCATTGTCTGTTTTATTCGTTGTCTTCTACTTCAAAATTTTCATTCTTCCTCTTTTCGCCTTTCTCCTCATTTCATAATCTACTACTCTAACTCTCTTTTTCTTCTCCTTTACGTTCTAATATTTATCATGTTCTTTCTTTTTATTCTATTCCCCCCTTTTTTTGTTCTTAATTTTCTTCCTCTCTTTCCATCTTCCTTAATCGTTTCTCTCTTTCTTTCCTCTTTCCTTCATGTTCTCCATCCTTTCTTACACACCAATTCTAATTTCCATCCCTTCTCGTTTTTTCTTTGTTGACCTTCTCTCTCTCTCTATCTCTATCTCTATCTCTATCTCCGTCTATATATATATATATATATATATATATATATATATATATATATATTATATATATATATATATATATATATATATATATTTCTCTCTCTTATCCTCATCCACCTTCATTCTCTTTATTCTTTTCATTAGAGTGTAATGTTTATCTTTCTCTTCATTTGACACTCATTCTTCATTTTCCATATTCCTTCAACTTCTCTTTTTCTTTGTCTTTTCTTCCAATTTTTCTTATTGCTCTTTCTCCTCATTTTTTTAATTTTTTAATGTACTGCTGCTCTCTTTTTCTTATCCTCCTTGTCCTTGTATTAATTCTCTTTCTTCTTAATTCTTTATCTTCTTCATTTTCTTCTTCTCTTTCTTATCTTCCTCTCTTTTTCTTCTTTTTTCCCTTCTTTTCTTTCATGTTCTCCATCCTTCCCTAAAATAATTCTCATACTTCTTTTCCCTTCCTGTCATGTTCTATAACTTTTATAATTCTCTTTCTATTGTTATCCTCGTCACCTTTCTTTATCTTCTTTTAGTTCATTCCTTATTGTTATCTATACATCCTTTTCATCCCTATTTTTTCCTTCCACATATCTTCCCATTTCATTTTTCTTTATCTACTCTTTCTTCTTCTCATCTTTCTCTTTTTTATTACGCATTATTCTCTATGTCCTTTTTTCTTATTTTCCTATACTTTTTCTTCTTTATGTTTTCCCCTTCTATTTTTTCACCTTTTCCCCTTTTATCTTAAATTTTTATCCTCTCCTTTTCTTCTCATTCTCCAAACTTCGTCTTTTTATTAATCTTCCCTTCCCTTCAACTTCCATCTCTTGTTTGTCTTGTTATTTTTCAGCTTTCTACCTCTTGTCCTCATCTAAATTCCCTTCTAGTTGTGCATGTTTATCTTTCACATGGTGTGAGGTATTATTTTTCTCCATCTTGTCCTCGTATTCATTCTCTTTCTTCTTTTGTCTTCATGTTCTCCGTCCTTTCTTAAAATAATGTTCATACTTTTTTTCCATTCATTACTCTTGTAATTCTTTTGATTATTATTCTCATCCTCCTTCTTTATCTTCTTATTATTCTTCCCATCTTTTTCATTATTTCACACCTATTTTTCTTCCTTCCACGTATCTTCCATTTCATTCTTCTTTGTCTACTCCTATTTTTTCTTCTCCTCTTTCTCTTTTTCTTCTATATCCTGACTCTTTCTTATTTTCTTCCTATTTTTTCTTCTTTTCCTTTTCCCCTTTTATTATTCCATTTATCTTTGATTTTTTTCACCACTTTTCCTTCTCGATCTCCAAATTTTCTTAACTCCCATCATCCTCGTCTTTTTTATTTCTCTTCCCCTTCTTTCTCTTTCCATCTCTTATTCCGTCCTGTTATTTTTCTGCTTTTTATCTCTCATCTAACTTTCCTTCTCATTTGTGCATGTTTATCTCTCTTTTTATTTTGACCCTGGTTTCTCTTCCTCTCGTTTTCTTTTTCCTTTTTCTTCTTCGTCTCATTTTTCATTATCTTTTACTTCAAAATTTTCATTATTCTTCTTTTCGACTCTCTACCCATTTCTTAATCTATTACTCTACTCTCGTTTTCTTCTCCTTTTCATTCTAATATTCATCATGTTCTTTCTTTTTATTATAACCTTCCTTTTTCTCCTCTTAATTTTCTTCTTCTCATCTTCGTTATCCATTCCTTCATGTTTTCCATTCTTTCTTACTCACTCTCATTCCCAGCCCTACTCGTTTTTTTCTTTGTTGAACCTCTCTCTCTCTCTCTCTCTCTCTCTCTCTCTCTCTCTCTCTCTCTCTGTATATTATCATCTCTTTTCCTTCTTATTCTCCAAACTCCTTTTCTCACTCTCTCATCTTTTTTCTTTCTCCTTTTATCTTCTTCCTTTCACTTTCTATCTCTTATCCTCATCCACCTTCTTATTTTTTTCTATTTATTCTTTTCATTGAAGTGTAATATTTATCTTTTTCTCCGTTTTGACCCTCATTCTTCATTTTCCATATTCCTTCATCTTCTCTTTTCTGTTTCTCTACTGTTACTCTTTTTTTCTTCTCTTGTTCTCATATTCATTCTCTTTCTTCTTATTATACCCACTCTTTCTCTTCTTCCTTTTCTTCTTGTTCTTCTTGTTGTTCTTTTTCTTCTCTTTCTCATCTCAGTCACATTTTCTTCCCTCTCTCATAATTCTTATTTTTTCTTCGTTTCTTTTTCCCCATTTATATATCTTTTATTTTTATCTTGTCCTTTACTTCTCATCCTCCAAGTTCTCTTTATTCTTTTCGTTAAAGTGTTATTTTTATGTTCTCCATCCTTCCTTTCCAACTCTAATTCCCATCCCTTCTCGTTTTTTCTTGGTTGACCTTCTCTCTCTCTCTCTCTCTCCCTTTCTCTCTCTCTCTCTCTCTCTCTCTCTCTCTCTCTCTATATATATATATATATATATATATATATATATATATATATATATATAATTTTTATCTTATTCTCCAAATTCCTTTTTTCACTCTTTTCGTCTTTTTGTTTATCTTACCCTTCTTTCTCCTTTTATCTTCCTCCATTCGTTTTCTCTCTTATCCTCATCTACCTTTTTTCTCTTTATTCTTTTCATTAAAGTGTAATGTTTATCTTCTCCATTTTGACACTTATTGCTCATTTTCCATATTCCTTCAACTTCTCTTTTTCTTTGTCTTTTTCTTCCTATTTTTCTTATTGCTTTTTCTCCCCGTTTTTTAATCTACTTACTGCTGCTCTTTTTTTCTTTTTCTCCTCCTTGTCCTTGTATGAATTCTCTTTCTTCTTACTTCTTTATCTTCTTCCTTTTCTTCTTCTTCTCTTTCTCATCTTCCTCTCATTTTCTTCTATTCTCCCTTCTTTTTCTTTCATGTTCTCCATTCTTTCCTAAAATAATTCTCGTACTTCTTTTCCCTTCCTCTCATGTTCTCATAACTTTTATAATTCTCTCTTTCTATTATTATCGTCGTCACCTTTCTCTATCTTCTTTTAGTTAATTCCTTATTGTTATTTATTCATCCTTTTCAACCCTACTTTTTTCTTCCACCTATCTTTTATTTTCATTTTTCTTTTATCTACCCTTTCTTCTTCTCATCATTCTCTTTTTTATTATGCATTATTCTGTCTTTCTTCTTTTTCTTTTTTTTTTTTTCGTTATATTTTTTCTTCTTTTTGTTTTCCCCTTATATTTTTCCACCTTTTCCCCTTTTATCATTAATTTTTATCATCTCCTTCCCTTCTCATTCTCCAAAGTCTCGTCTTTTTATTAATCTTCCCTTTACTTCTCCTTCCATCTCTTATTTGTCTTGTTATTTTTCAGTTTTCTACCTCTTGTCCTCATCTAAATTCTCTATAAGTTGTGCATGTTTATCTTTCTCATGGTGTGAGGTATTATTTTTCTCCATCTTGTCCTCGTATTCATTCTCTTTCTTCTTTTTTCTTCATGTTCTCCATCCTTTCTTAGAATAATTCTCATACTTTTTTTCCCTTAATTACGCTTATAGTTCTTTTTATTATTATTCTCATCCTCCTTCTTTATCTTCTTTTATTTCATTCCTTATTAATCTTCCCATCTTTTTCATCATTTCACCCCAAATTTCCTTTCTTCCACCTATCTTCCATTTCATTCTTCTTTGTCTACTACTATTTTTTCTTCCACTCTTTCTCTTTTTCGTTCACATTATCCCGACTCTTTCTTATTTTCTTCCTTTTTTTTCTTCTTTTCCTTTTACCTTTCTATTATTCTATATATCTTTGATTTTTCTTTTTGCCACTTTTCCTTTTCATTCTCCAAATTTTCTTAACTCTCATCATCTTCGTCTTTTTTTATTTCTCTTCATCTTCCTTCTCCTTCTCCTTCCATCTCTTATTCCGTCCTATTTTTTTTCTGCCTTTTATCTCTCATCAAACTTCCCTTCTCATTTGTGCATGTTTATCTCTCTTTTCATTTTGACCATCGTTTTCTCTTTCTCTCGCTTTTGTTTTTTTTTTTTTTCTTCTTTTTCTTCATTGTCTCATTTTTCATTGTCTTTTACTTCAAAGTTTTAATTATTCTTCTTTTCGCCTCTCTACCCATTTCATTTTTTAATCTATTACTCTACTCTCCTTTTCTTCTCCTTTTTGTTCTAATATTCATCATGTTCTTTCTTTTTATTCTAACCTTTTTCTCTTCTTAATTTTCTTCTTCTCTTTTCCATCTTCCTTATCCGTTTCTCTATTTCATTCCTTCTTTTTCCTTCATGTTTTCCATATTATCATCTCTTTTCCTTCTTATTCTCCAAACTCCTTTTCTCACTCTCTCATCTTTTTTCTTTCTCCTTTTATCCTCTTCTTTTTGCTTTCTATCTCTTATCATCATCCACCCTCTTATTTTTCTTCTCTTTATTCTTTTCATTAAAGTGTTATTTTTATCTTTTTCTCCGTTTTGACCCTCATTCTTCATTTTCCATATTCCTTCATCTTCTCTTTTCTATTTGTCTACTGCTGCTCTTTTTTTCTTCTCTTGTTCTCATGATCATTCTCTTTCTCGTCTTCCTTTTCTTCTTGTTCTTGTTCTTGTTCTTCTTCTCTTTCTCATTTCACTCACATTTTCTTCCCTTTTTCCCTTGATTACTCTCATAATTCTTATTTTTCTTCGTTTCTTTTTCCCCATTTATGTATCTTTAATTTTTATCTTGTCCTTTCCTTCTCATCCTCCAAGTTCTATTTTTCTTTTTGTTAATCTCCTCCTTCCATCTCTTTCAATCTCTTATTCGTGTTGTTATTTTTAAGCTTTCTATGCCTTTTCCTCATCTACACTCCCTTCTCATTTGTGCGTGTTTATCTTTCTCATGGTGTGAGGTATTATTCTTCCCCTTCTTGTCGTCATATTTATTCTCTTTCTTCATTTCCTGATTTATTATAACTTGGCGGTATGAATTTCTTGCTGGCAGTGGAGTATTCTCCATCGATAATTGGAATGGATGTTTCCCATGGCATTTTCAGGTAATTCATTCTTTTCACACAAATGGTATAACCAGCCTGTCACGGTATGTGAAGCCACTATTTACTAACTGATTTATATGAAATGCTTTTTAATGGAGAGATGGTTAATTTATTAATTTCAGCTTTGTGTTTACCTTTGTGAATTTGTCTCTGTTCTTTATGCTTTGAAATAAATCTTGAATGCATGTATATATATGATTTCACAATTGGTCTGATTCTTAATTCTGTAATATGGGCACCAGTCCACTGGAATTTGCATAATAAGCCTTAACTTTTGAGCCATGTATAAGGATTGTTTATAGGCAGAAGTGACTCCTGATGGGGAAGCCAATTTGGTATGTTTTGATCCATCTGCATAGTATTCTATTGTTGTTTTGGGGGTTACGATTCTTATTACATTTCGCTAACTTCTCAGGGATCTGGTGACAAGCAGTCAACTGTTCGTGGTTCTGCTTCTGCTGTAATATATGTTCTCAAGGTTCCTGTAAGAAGCTGTCCTCAGTACATGGTTTCTTCCACTCTGTGAATATCAACTTCGTTTATAAAAATTGGTTTGCTTCAATTAAGTTTCACTGACTTCTGAGATTCTTTAATGGGAGCATGCACCCCTCAGCCATCAAAAATTAACTTCTCAGAAAACAGCCCAGCAAACTGATGCTAAGAGGCACCAGACAGCTAAAAAAAAGTAGTAAGTATGATCAGGAACCCCTCTGCATTGAAGTCAGCAACCCAATCACAAGTGAAAAGCATTAATCCAGCTAGTGCAAGAAGGTAGATATCTTTCTTTTACTTCCCATATTTTTTGTCTTGTTTTGTTCTATATCTCTTTATTTTGGTGAGCTGGAATCTGTGTAATATGTTTAATTTCAATTATTGATTCACAGGAATGCAAATATTAAAATTACATCTGAAACTCCAAATATTGCTCAAGAAAATCAAGCTATAAAGAGGCAAAAATTTGAAGAGGGGAAAGCTAGACAGGTGGGTCATTTATTGTCAATTTTTTTTTTTTACCTTATTAAGTGTATCATTTTTCACATTTTTATTGAAGAAGACGTTGTGGTTGCTGGGTCATTTCCTCCCCCTATTCATGATTGAGTTAATTTTCTTCTGTCCTTTAGGTAGAGAGTGCTTTCATGTGAGAATGCTCAACTTGATCTTTTTGTTTCGGTCTAATCTCATATGTGGTCAAACATGAAACATTTGTCTCGTCAATGATTATCTTAGAACGCTTACTTAATTCACAACTTATTGAAGTTATTATGTATGATACGAAGCATCATTTGTATTGAAGGAAGCAGTTTTGTTTCTGTTTTCCCATTTGAAAAATTTCATACTAATTTTCCGATGTTATAGCATGACCTGAGGTTCGTGAATCAGCAGGGTTGGCATTCAGCACTCTCTACATGGTACCACTAGTTAGTTCTTGGTGTGTTGACATACCAGTTTTCGTGTTTTAAATATTAGTTTGATGATGAATTGATTATGGTTCCTTGTGTAGACCGCTGGAATGCAAGCAATTGATGAGATTGTTCCGACACTTCTGCATGCAAAATGGATGTTTGATGTGGATGGTTTAAAACAGATTTTAAGGTTGAAAACCATTTGCAAATGTGTATTTTCTTACATATCTGCCTGGGCACCTTTTCTGATTTTTAAAATGTATTGGATGCTTCTTTCAGTATCAGGACCAGTGCTGTGCTGCCTCATATCCTTCCCAAGCTTGTCCACCTTAAAATGTATTGGACCTTTTCTGATTTTTAAAATGTATTGGATGCTTCTTTCAGTGTCAGGACCAGTGCTGTGCTGCCTCATATCCTTCCCAAGCTTGTCCACCTTCCCCTTTCGTAAGTATTGTGTCTATTTCTTATAGCTTTTTGTATAGAGTAGTATTTCTTTATTATTCACAATGATCTTTGACTTTATATCCAGTGCCTTCAATGCTCATGCTTTGGGAGCTTTAGCAGAGGTTGCTGGACCTTGTCTTGATACCCCCCTTGGGTTCCATCCTTCCTGCTTTACTCACTGCAATGGGTTATACTGATATGGTAGTAACCTAATTTTTATGCCGTAATGCCATTTACATGGTTTCGTCTTTCTCATCATTTAAATTTGAGTCATTGCTTATGTTGATTTGTGTATTTTTTTTTCATTGCATAATTAGCATGTGTCATGCTTTCACCTTGAAAATATTGGAGGTTCAATGTCTCGCCAAGAAAGCAGCAGACACTGTTGTCACGGTAATTGACAAGGAAGGTATCAAGTCTTTGCTGTTGGGGCTTCTCAAAGGTGTTGGAGATATTCAGGCATGATTTATTGTTTTACATAATGATAATGTGACTTTCTTTTCTTTGAATTGCATTTTTTACCTAACACTATTTAAGTTTTATTCTTCCGGGCTTCAGTCAGACAAAGTTCTGCATACTTTATTGGATATTTATTAAAAACCACTTATATATATCTTGTTGATGAGGTTGAGATGGATGGATTTCAAAGTGATGATGATGACGATGAGTCTGATAGCGAAATGGCAGATGATGATGAGGGATGGAGATGAAGCTATGATCCGAGGATAAGCTGAAAGGTTAGTATGCATTTTTTTTATGTCTTGCATTTCATTTGTGGACATTAATTTCTGAATCTAATACATGGTGAAAATCTCTATTTCAGATTTATGTTCGAGAACGAGCAGCCCCATTTATTTCAATGGCAGAAATGATGAGGAAGTTTGAATCTAGTACAAGTCAGATGTCAATGCCACACATGAATTGTTCCATGTTACATGTAAAAAAAAATAACTTGCTTAAAAGTTTTATTGTTTTTCTAGTATGTTTTCTTTAAAAATTTGAACTATTTTTCAGGATGGTATGGCTGGATCAGTGCAGAGGAAGCCTAAGCTTACACTGACAAGGCCTAAGGATCCTGAACTTGAAGCAGCTCAACGTTACTGTCCAGTAAAGCTTATGAGCTCAGCTCAGCTCATAATCTACTACTCTTAACTCTATTTTTCTTTTCCTTTTCATTCTAATATTTATCAATTTCTTTCTTTTTATTCTATCCCCCCTTTTCTCATCTTAATTTTCTGCTTCTCTTTCCCATCTTCCTTGATCGTTTCTCTCTTTCTTTTCTTATTTTTCCTTCAATGTTCTCCATCCTTTCTCACTCACCCACTCTAACTCCCATCCCTTCTCGATTTTTCTTTGTTGACCTTCTCTCTCTCTCTCTCTCTCTCAAGAAGTGACTCCCGACGGGGAAGCAATTTGGTATGTTTTGCTCCATCTGCATAGTATGCATTTTTATGTCTTGCATTTCATTTGTGGACATTAATTTCTGAATCTAATACATGGTGAAAATCTCTATTTCAGATTTATGTTTGTGAACGAGCAGCCCCATTTATTTCAATGGCAGAAATGATGAGGAAGTTTGAATCTAGTACAAGTCAGATGTCAATGCCACACATGAATTGTTCCATGTGACATGTAAATACAAATAACTTGCTTAAATGTTTTATTGTTTTTCTAGTACGTTTTCTTTAAAAATTTGAACTATTTTTCAGGATGGTATGGCTGGATCAGTGCAGAGGAAGCCTAAGCTTACACTGACAAGGCCTAAGGATCCTGAACTTGAAGCAGCTCAACGTTACTGTCCAGTAAAGCTTATGAGCTCAGCTCAGCTCATAATCTACTACTCTTAACTCTATTTTTCTTTTCCTTTTCGTTCTAATATTTATCAATTTCTTTCTTTTTATTCTATCCCCCCTTTTCTCATCTTAATTTTCTGCTTCTCTTTCCCATCTTCCTTGATCGTTTCTCTCTTTCTTTTCTTATTTTTCCTTCAATGTTCTCCATCCTTTCTCACTCACCCACTCTAATTCCCATCCCTTCTCGATTTTTCTTTGTTGACCTTCTCTCTCTCTCTCTCTCTCAAGAAGTGACTCCCGACGGGGAAGCAATTTGGTATGTTTTGCTCCATCTGCATAGTATTCTACTGTTGTTTTGGGTGATATGATTCTTATTAAACTCTGATACTGCTCTGGATGGTTTAAAACAGATTTTAAGGTTGAAAACCATTTGAAATGTGTATTTTCTTACATATTTGCCTGGGCACCTTTTCTGATTTTTAAAATGTATTGGATGCTTCTTTCAGTGTCAGGACCAGTGCTGTGCTGCCTCATATCCTTCCCAAGGTTCTTTCAGTGTCAGGACCAGTGCTGTGCTGCCTCATATCCTTCCTAAGCTTGTTCACCTTCCCCTTTCGTAAGTATTGTGTCTGCACATGCACATGTCAGTGGAGCACAAGAATCATCTTGGTAGCCATAATATGCATTTTTCACTTTTCAGGTCTATATAGATAGAACTCAGAGAAAACCTGAAATTGATGGGACAAAAACATAGAAGATAGTGACATCGAGTCTGCACCTAAGCTCATCGAAGTTCCATTCCAGAACTGCAAAGGACAGGTCGATCACTGGGTTGAGCCATATCTCAGAATCTCAATTGAATGTGTGCATCGAAGTGAAACACCATACTTGAAGTGCCTCCTGATCCAAGTGGTAAGATACTTAAATATTTCTTTGTTTATACATATTCATTTGTTTCCCTTGTTTTTTTTTTTTTTTTTTTTTTTTTTTTTTGGTGACGTGGTTCCCAGTCTATAAAACATGGAGATTATGTTTGTACTGTTCCTTTGCATGATTAGAAAACTTATTTGTGGCTAATAATCTAACAAGTAATATTGTGATTTGAACTCGTTTCTTTGCCTTTGTTCCTGTTGAGGAGGCATAGGTCACATTGGCATGTAAATGAGTTCAAGTTTCAATGAAAGGTTGTGAGTGCACTTGCAGTTCTGCATATACCTGATATATGAGCTGGGTGTGAAATATCTTTAAATGACACATGAAGTCTACTGTATTAAAACAAAATAATTACTGGATACTTTATTTTTTAGTGGATCTACTTTTTGCTATATTTTCCCCTACAGATTCACACGTTCTGTGTTTGTGTCCTTTTCCTGTGAAATAACTTCTAAATTTGTTTCTTATTGATAGATTGCTGATGCTCTTTACTATAACCCTTCATTTACGCTGAGCATACTGCTTGGTGTTGCTACAGAGATCTTCAATCTTTGGTTCCATATGCTACAACAAACGAAAAAAAAGTGAAGCTCGGGCTAATTCTAAAAGGTAGCAATATGTTGGTCTTGTAGTTCTTGTGGAAAGATGTAAAAAGCATAAGAAAAACAAAGCTAAGGAAAGTGATGGGTTTCTAATTCTTACCGTGTTGGTATTGCAGGGAGCATGAGAAGAAGGTTTGCTGCTTGGGCTTCACATCATTGCTCAGTCTTCCTGCTGATCAAATGCCAGCAGCAACCTTAGAGGGCATTTGTAAGGCAATTCTTGACCTCCTTGTATGCACAACGAGCAACTTGCTGGTAAGTAACTATTTTAATTTTTTTTTTCTATGTTCTTCCCATACTGGTTTTTCTATTTGTTTCATTTGCACTTTAGATGGTATATTCGGTTATTCTCTTAATGTTTGATATCATTTTCTACCTTCTAAATCTTCAGAAGCTGCAAAGGCAGAGGAAGCTGAAGATGAGGTTGAGATGGATGGATTTCAAAGTGATGATGATGACGATGAGTCTAATAGAGAAATGGCAGATGATGATGAGGATGGAGATGAAGCTATAATTCGAGGATAAGCAGAAAGGTTAGTATGCATTTTTTTATGTCTTGCATTTTCATTTGTGGACATTAATTTCTGAATCTAATACATGGTGAAAATCTCTTTTTCAGATTTATGTTCGAGAACGAGCAGCCCCATTTATTTCAATGGCAGAAATGATGAGGAAGTTTGAATCCAAGTCAGATGTCAATGCTACACATGAATTGTTCCATGTCACATGTAAATACAAATAACTTGCTTAAAAGTTTTATTGTTTTTCTAGTATGTTTTCATTAATAATTTGAACTATTTTTCAGGTTGGTATGGCTGGATCAGTGCAGAGGAAGCCTAAGCTTACACTGACAAGGCCTAAGGATCCTGAACTTGAAACAGCTCAACGTTACTGTCCAATAAAAGTTTATGAGCTCAGCTCAGCTCATAATCTACTACTCTAACTCTATTTTTCTTTTCTTTTTCGTTCTAATATTTATCAATTTCTTTCTTTTTATTCTATCCCCCCTTTTCTCATCTTTATTTTCTTTTTCTCTTTCCCATCTTCCTTGATCGTTTCTCTCTTTCTTTTCTTATTTTTTCTTCAATGTTCTCCATCCTTTCTCACTCACCCACTCTAACTCCCATCCCTTCTCGATTTTTCTTTGTTGACCTTCTCTCTCTCTCTCTCAAGAAGTGACTCCCGACGGGGAAGCAATTTGGTATGTTTTGCTCCATCTGCATAGTATTCTACTGTTATTTTGGGCGATATGATTCTTATTACATTTCGTTAACTTCTCAGGGATCTAGTGACAAGCCGTCAGCTGTTCATGGTTCTGTTTCTGCTGTAATATCAATTCTCAAGGATCCTGTAAGAAGCTGTCCTCACTTCAAGGTTTGCTCCACTCTGTGAATATTAACTTTGTTTATACAATTTGGTTTGTCTCGATTAAGTTTCACTGACAAAGCCAACGTAGTTTCACTGATTGTTAAGATTATTTAACGGGAGCATGCACCCCTCAGCCACCAAAAATAACTTCTCAGAAAATAGCCCAACAAACTGATGCTAAGAAACACCAGACAGCTAAAAAAAAAAATAGCAAGTATGATCAGGAACGGTCAGCAACCCAATCACAAGTGAAATGCATTAATTCAGCTAATGCAAGAAGGTAGATATCTTTCTTTTACTTCCCATATTTGTATTGCTTTGTTCTATATCTCTTTATTTTGGTGAGCTGGAATCTGTGTAATATTTTCTTATCAATTATTGATTCACAAGATTTCGCAAATATTAAAATTACATCTGAAACTCCAAATTTTGCTCAAGAAAATCAAGCTATGAAGAGGGAAAAACTTGAAGAGAAGAAAGCTAGAAAGGTGGGTCATTTATTAACTAAAAACTTTTGCTTAGGACCTTTGAATAAAACCCCAAACTTTGCTCCATACAACAAGACCTGGGAAATTTACCAGCACCTTGAACACTTCAACTGCTAAAACACATGCAGCAGACAGAAAGGTTAGTATGCATTTTTATGCCTTGCATTTCATTTTTGGACATTAATTTTCTGAATCTAATACATGGTGAAAATCTCTATTTCAGGTTTATGTTCGTGAACCAGCACCCCCATTATTTCAATTTGCAAAAATGATGAAGAAGTTCGAATCTAGTACAAGGGAAATGTCAATGCCATGCATGAATTGTTCCATGTCACATGTAAGTTGCTTAAAAGTTTTTTTATTTTTTCTAGTACGTTTTCTTTCTTATGTTTAATTTTGAGTGTGCCTTTTCTTTCTTATGTTTAATTTTAATCTTTTTTTCCCTCACTCTGTGTGCTTCTGTGCTTGTATATAATATGTTATGGAGTTTTTCTCTACTAAAGTCTCTTGTTTTCTTTGTAGCGGCTATGTCGACCAACGGCTACTGAAAATATCAGTTGCAACCTTGGTGGTGGCTTCGTCTCTTCTCTCTATGGATCTGGTATTCACTGATTTAGTTTTGAGAGTGCCTTTTCTTTCTTGTGTTTAATTTTGATCTTTTTTTTTTGTTTTTTGTTTTTTGTTTTTTCTCTCACTCTGTGTGCTTGTATATAATATCTTATTTAGTTTTTCTCTACTAATGTCTCCTGTTCGACCAGTGACTACTGAAAATATCAGTTGCAACCTTAGTGGTTGCTTCGTCTCTTCTCTCTATGGATCTGGTATTCATAGATTGAGATTTGAGAGTGTGCCTTTTCTTTCATATGTTTAATTTTTTTTTTCTCCTGTGTGCCTTTTCAGCTTTTTGTTGCCTCTTCTGTTCTTTTATGCTTTGAAATAAATCTCTAATGCCTGTATATATAGGATTTCACAATTGGTCTGATTGTCAATTCTATAATATGGGCACCAATGCACTGGAATTTGTATAATGAGCCTTAACTTTTTGAGCCATGTTGTTGATAAGAAGAAGTGACTCCTGACGGGGAAGCCAATTTGGTATGTTTTGATCCATCTGCATAGTATTCTACTGTTGTTTTGAGGGTTATGATTCTTATTACTTTGTAGCGGCTATGTCTACCAAACGGCTACTGAATATCAGTGCCAAGGTATTACATTCATATAATTCAACAGTGTGCTGCAAATAGTATAACCAGCCTGTCACTGTATGTGAAGCCACTACTGACTAACTGATTTATTTGAAAAGCTTTTTAATGGAGAGATGGTTATTTTATTAATTTCAGCTTTGTGTTGTCTCTTCTGTTCTTTTATGCTTTGAAATAAATCTTAAATGCCTGTGTATATAGGATTTCACTGATTCTCAATTCTATAAGCACCAGACAGCTAAACAATTGCAAGTATGATCTCAAACCACTCTGCAATGAAGTCAAAATCTGAATCACAAGTGAAAAGCATTAATCCAGCTAGTGCAAGAAGGTCGATATCTCTCTTTTAGTTTCCATATTTGGTTAGTTTTGTTCTATGTCTCTTTATTTTTACATCTGAAACTTCAAATTTTGTTCAAGAAAATCAAGCTATAAAGAGGCAAAAACTTGAAGAGGGGAAAGCTAGACAGGTGAGTCATTTATTGACTAAAAATTTTTACCTTATTAAGTGTTTACTTTTCACATTTTTTAATATGATCTCCTCAATTTGTTCTCAGTTTTGCTTATATCCTTAGCATCAAACCCCAAACTTCTCACCATAAAACAAGACCAGGGAAATCTACCAGCAATGTGTACACTTCAACTGCTAAAACACGTACATGCATTTTTATGTCTTGCATTTCATTTATGGACATTAATTTCTGAATCTAATACGTGGTGAAAATTTCTATTTCAGATTTCTGTTCGAGAACCAGCAGCCCCATTTATTTCAATGGCAGAAATGATGAAGAAGTTCGAATCTAGTACAAGAGATATGTAAATGCCACGCATGAATTGTTTCATGTCACACATATGAATACAAATAACTTGCTTAAAAGTTCTATTATTTTTCTAGTACATTTTCTTTAAAAATTTAAACTATTTTTCAGGATGGTATGGCTGGAATCCTAAGCTTAGACTGACAAGGCCCAAGGTACCTGAACTTGAAGCAGCTCAACGTTACCGTTCAGTAAAACTTATGAGCTCAGCTTTGTTGGAAGAAGAAATGATGGCAAAATTCCTTAATTTTAAGGCTCGCCCTCTAAATAAGAAGGTACCTCCATTTTGAGTGACTGCTTTATTTTCCTGAGTGTATACATCTTGCCTTAGTTTAAGAGACTGCTTTAGTATTCATGTGCTTTTCGTTTATTCCATGTGTTAATTTTACTGTTAAATGTGTTTTTATTGTCACGTCGAAACCCTTCCCTTCTCCCGCAGAACTTTTTCTGATTATTCCGTCTCTTATTCGGTCTTGTTATTTTTTTCTGCTTTTTATCCCTCATCTAACTTCCCTTCTCATTTGTCCATGTTTATCATTCTCTTTTTTCCTTTTTCTTCATTTTTTGTTTTATTCGTTGTCTTTTATTTCAATATTTTCATTCTTCCTCTTTTCGCCTTTCTCCTCATTTCATAATCTATCATTCTTCTTTTTGTTCTAATATTTATCCTGTTCTTTCTTTTTATTCTATCCCCTTATTATTATCCTCGTTACCTTTCTTTATCTTCTTTTAGTTCATACCTTATTGTTATATATATATATATATATATATATATATATATATATATAAAATATAATATAATTTTTTGTCTTATTCTCCAAACTCCTTTTCTCATTCTTTTCGTCTTTTTGTTTATCTTCCCCTTCTTTCTCCTGTTATCCTCCTGCATACGTTTTCTCTCTTTTATCTTCATCCACCTTCTTTCTCTTTATTCTTTTCATTAAAATGTAATGTTTATCATTCTCTCCATTTCAACACTCATTCTTCATTTTCTATATTCCTTAAATTTCTCTTTTTCTTCCTATTTTTCTTATTGCTCTTTCTCCTTGTTTTTTTAATCTACTGATGCTCTCTTTTTCTTCTCCTCCTTGTCCTTGTATTAATTCTCATTCTTCTTATTTCTTTATCTTCTTCTTTTTCTTCTTCTTCTCTTTCTCATCTTCCTCACGTTTTCTTCTTTTTTTTCCTTCTTTCGTGATCTCCATCCTTTCCTAAAATAATTCTCATACTTCTTTTCCCTTCCTCACATGTTCTCATAATTGTTATAATTCTCTCTTTCTATTATTATCCTCGTCACCTTTCTTTATCTTCTTATAGTTCATTCCTTATTGTTATATATATAATATATAATTTTTCTTATTCTCAAACTCTTTTTCTCACTCTTTTCATGTTTTTGTTTATCTTCCCTTTCTTTCTCCGTTTATCTTCCTCCATTCGCTTTCTCTCTCTTATCTTCATCCACCTTCTTTCTCTTTATTCTTTTCATTAAAGTATAATGTTTATTTTTCTCTCCATTTGGACACTCATTCTTCATTTTTCATATTCCTTTAACTTCCCTTTTTCTTCCAATTTTTCTTATTGAACTCTTCCTCTTTGTTTTTTTAATCTACTGCTGCTCTCTTTTTCTTCTCTTCCTTGTCCCTGTATTAATTCTCTTTCTTCTTGCTTCTTTATCTTCTTCCTATTCTTCTTCTTCTCTTTCTTATTTTCTTTTTTTTTTTCCCTTCTTTTTCTTTCATTCCTCTCTTTCTATTAATATCCTCGTCACCTTTTTTTATCTTCTTGTAGTTCTTTCCTTATTGTTATCTATTCATCCTTTTCATCCCTATTTTTTCCTTCCACCTATCTTTCATTTCATTTTTCTTTATCTAGTCTTTCTTCTCATCCTTCTCTTTTTTATTACGCATTATTCTCTATGTCCTTCTTTTTTCTTATATATATATATATATATATATATATATATATATATATATACATATATATATATATATATATATATATATATATATATATATATATATATTTTCCCCTTCTATATTTTCATCTTTTCCCCTTTTATCTTTAATTTTGATCCTCTCCTTTCCTTCACATTCTCTAAAGTTTCTTTTACTTTTTATTAATCTTCCATTTCCTTTTCCTTTCATATCTTATTTGTCTTGTTATTTTTCAGCTTTCTACCTCTTGTCCTCATATAAATTTCCTTCTGGTTGTGCATGTTTATCTTTCTCATGGTGTGAGGTATTATTTTTCTCCATCTTGTCCTCGTATTTATTCTTTCTTCTTTTGTCTTCTTGTTTTCCATCCTTTTTAAAATAATTCTCATACTTTTTTCCCTTCATTACTTTATAATTCTTTTTATTACTATTCTCATCATGTTCCTTTATTTTCTTTTAGTTCATTCCTTATTGATCTTCCCATCTTTTTCATCATTACTATTCTCATCATGTTCCTTTATTTTCTTTTAGTTCATTCCTTATTGATCTTCCCATCTTTTTCATCATTTCACCCCTCTTTTTCTTCTTTCCACCTATCTTCCATTTCATTCTTCTTTGTCTACTACTATTTTTTCTTTTCCTCTTTCTCTTTTTTGTTCACATAATTCTATATCCTGAGTCTTTCTTATTTTCTTCTTATTTTTTCTTCTTTTTCTTTTCCCGTTCTATTGTTCTATATATCTATGATTTTTTTCGCCACTTGTCCTGCTTATTCTCCAAATTTTCTTAAAGCATCATCTTCGTCTTTTTATTTCTCTTCCTCTTCATTTTCCTTCCATCTCTTATTTCGTCCTGTTATTTTCTGCTTTTTATCTCTCATCTAACTTCCCTTCTTATTTTTGTGTGTTTATCTCTCTTTTTTGACCCTCTTTTCTATTTCTCTCGATTTTTTTCATCATCTCATTTTTCATTATCTTTTACTTCAAAATTTTCATTATTCCTCCTTTCGCCTCTCTACCCATTTCTTAATCTATTACTCTACTCTCTTTTTCTTTTCCTTTTCGTTCTAATACATCATGTTTTTTCTTTTTACTCTAACCTTCCTTTTTCTCTTCTTTAATTTGTATCATCTCTTTTCCTTCTTATTGTCCCAACTCATTTCTCACTCTCTAGTCTTTTTGTTTCTCTTTCCTTCCTTTCTCCCTTTCTCCCTTTCTCCTTTCTCCTTTTCTCCTTATCCTTCCGCTTTCTATCTCTTATTCTCATCCACCTTTTTATTCTTCTTCTCTTTATTCTTTTCATTAACTCCGTTTTGACCATCGTTCTTCATTTTTCATATTCCCTTCTTCTCTTTTCTCCTTGTCTACTGCTACTCTTTTTTTCTTCTCTTTCTTGTTCTCATATTCATTCTCTTTTTTCTTATTATATTCCATCTTTCTCTTCCATTTATACTTATTCTCTATCTCATCTCACTCATATTTTCTCTCTAATTTTCTTCATTTTTCCCTTCGTTTAGTCCATTCCTTATTGTTATCTACTCATCCTTTTCATCATTTCATCCATATTTTTCCTTTCACCTCCCATTTCATTCTTCTTTATATATTCTTTCTTTTTTTTTTTTTATCATTCCTTGGGATGAGTGTTTTTTGATTAATGAATTTGGACTTTTCTGTGGTAGGTCATGTTAATATCGATTTGGACTTCTCTGTGTTAATATCGATAGTAGTCTTCGATGTTTTGTATACAACCATTGTCTGTTGTATGATCATTGCCTACCTATTTTTGATTATTTTGTGTCCTAAATTCTTTTCTGTCCATCCGGTTTTTTCCACATTTTGGGGTTCTTTACCCTTTGTTATTTTTAAAATGATTTTCATAGTTTTTAAGTATTATTTTTTGTTTTTAATATGTTATGCTTTTTTTTAAAAAAAAAAAATTAAAACTAGAAGGGGGAAACCCAAGTTGTAGTACAACAATTAGCTGGAGTTATAAACCTCTCGCCTTCTAGGCACACCAGAAATATCATCATCGATTTAGTCCTAAGATTTCATCACGTGACTTCCGGAGGATGTGCAGTCCAGTAGGGTGGTGAGCTGAGATCTTCGCCGGGGCATTCGCTGCTTGGTTTTGATCGTGGACGATTGGCTCAACTTGCCATACTTCCAGATTGCGTAAC